AAGTTGCAACGGCGTGTAAAAGAAGGGAATTTTATAAATAAAAGTTAATAATTTGTTTTAAAGAAACCAAATAAGAACTGCGTAGCATATTTCCCTACAAAAAAGGAAAACATTTCATTAAGTAAAATACATCTTAAGGAAACAAAATTATGAAACCATTTTTAAAACTTGAAACGAAAAGAAAGATACATGTATTTTGTTATCCAGTCTAATATACTAATCAGAATTTTCAGTTTTTAAAACTTTGAAACTCTTGTCTTTATTTAAAAATAAAAAAGGAGTTTTATCTACTTAAATATTTTTATAACTCTTGAAAACAAATCGTAAACTCTTCGATGATCTTCTGACAAAAACGTCACATTTAACACATTCATAGTTTCAATTGTGACAATTTGCAAATTGTATGGAAACAAAATAACATGAACTCGGATGTGCTGAGAAATTAATAATTCCCTGGACATGTTGCAATAATATTAAAAAAAAACTTATGGGTACAAACGAATTGTCTCGTTGCCAGCTATCGGCGAATATTCTTGGAGGACAAGATATACAAATGACGAAGATGAAGTTTCCTCTGCTCCGTATAAGAAGAAAAGTTTTCATGAAGCATTCATTAGCATAATTGCAGCGATGCGTACGTTTTAGAACTAAATATATTCTTTCTCTTTTTATCTTGAGGATTTTACCATAAGAAATCTAATGTAAACGAATTCACGTAACGCAAACGAATAACGAAAACGACGTAAGATTCTTTTCTTAGGAATATGGAATAGGAATTATTACAGAATACATGACAAGAAATCTTACATTGTTCTAAGCAGCTGAGTTCTTCTGTTGTTGCATTTCTGAAAACAATTTCCTGTATATATCAGTCAGTAAGATTTCATCCTATCCCTATTTTAGAGAGCATATTCCAAAGCCACAATATACTACCCACATTTCAACTAGTTAAACAATGGATACCTAACGCACTTAATCATATCCATATCTATATTAATGTAAGTGTTGAAGAAAATGCCGAAAAGTTCTTGACTGAGCAAGATGAAATCACGGTAATCTTAGCGATATGGTATTTGAAATAAATAATACATTGTCGAAAACTGCTAAAGAGGATAAACTGAAAAATACTGAAATTTCTGAAAAGTCTGTTATGCGTTTACCTAAGATATCTTTACCTAATTTTCAGAAGAAATGCATTCTTGGCTTAAGTTTATTTTTAAAACGAGTATTGATAAGAACTAGTATCAGATGTATCAGATAGTATCAGAAGTATCAAATGTTATAAAATTGCAATCTTTAATATCAGCACTGAAAAGAGATGCCTTTTAGAATAATCCAAACGCTATTCAACTTATCTAACTGATTATAATTATAAATCACTACAGTCTCTCCTTTAGGAGAAGTATTCACACTTCAGAGAACAAATGTATACACGTCTCAAGAAACGAGTCGGCTTATGCAACTCTAAATGTAATTGACGTTACAAGTGAAGTCGTAAGACCGTTAGCATGTTAGAACAGAGATGCACAACTCAGATGTGTGAAGGGACATTTAAGAAATATTGAAATTGGTGAAGGCCGCAAATATTTTATAACTCTTATTAGTATTGTGTTTAAAAATACCAATCCAAAGATAGAGACATCGTATTAACTGCATATAAAAGTAATTAAAACTTGAAAAATGATGTACTATTTTGATTCTGAATTGTAACGTTAAAATTTATACAACTGCAAACAATAATTCGCAAGTTTACATCATTGGAAACACAGAAAAGCGAATTCGTTTATGGTAAATAAGCATATGATTCAAAATGCAAATGAGAAAATAAAAATTTTAAATTATGTCATCTTACTATATAATCTTAATTATATAATCAGATTGCACCGGATAATTTAACTTAACTTTCACAACTTCGATGAGAGAAGAAGCTCTTGAATCATGCTGAAACGAAACTTGAAAAGCGGGAAAATTTGTTTTGGCACTAGCATCATCTCGGCTTACTTATCTCTCTTTTGGCAGCTTTTTCTCTTTTCGCATCCTCTTTTTTAACAGCACATCGCTTTTTGTTTGGATAAATCGCATATCAGTTCGCGGAATCACACAGCAATCGAACTTTTGTAAAAACAGCACCGAATACAGCAAAATTTTGCTACAATTGCGGAACTGAATGAGGAAAGCACTGTAAAATTAAAAAAAAAAAGATTTTGTTAAGTAAAACTGGAGAAATTTTGTTGAAATGTAAAGAGCGTAACAATGTTTTTCTGCCCCTTTTAAAAAACCAATTTTTTCCTACAAATAAAATTTTTATTTAAAAAACCAAACTGTACTCAACAAAACATATTTTGTAGTTTTAATCAATTCCTTTTTCTGGGTCGAAGCTGCATTATTAAGACCAGTGACGGACAACAGAAAATCACTCAACGAGCTGCATGTTGCCCTCGGACCGTATACGCACTCTTGGTCTAGAACAAAAATTAGACGAATTTTCTTTCAGTGTACTTACTTTATTCTTAGCCAGACACTTGATCAGAATACTAATTGAATGTGATCAGAATACTGTGTTCAAAAAAAAATCTCTCGCCAACATTAAATGCTACAAGAATATCGATAATAACTAGACGACACCATCTAAAAGTACGTCATTGGTATCATGTGCGACTGAGATTCGCGTCCAAAGAAAACATAAACCAAGTAGGAATTAAACCCAATGTGTAGCGAGGTAACATGATATAAAATTCAACAAAACACAAAAATCATAAAACTAAAGCAAATTTTGTCATCCGATAGTTTGGTTTGGTTTATTTTAATATGGCAAAGTACTTAAGGACTATTTACATGACACTTCAGTACTTCAGTACACCCGGGCACTTTAGTACGGCAGTCATCGTAGCTAACGACTATCACATTTGGACGGCGCTTTAGAAATACATGTATTATTAAATGTTTGCTAAATAAATGCGAATAGGAAATTGAAAATCCACAAATCCACTATGTTTGTCGATGCAGCGCTGTTTTAGAGATTTCACATAATTTAAACATTTCGTCAGAAATTTCACAATTAATGAGGTTCTTGATTACCTTTAGTTTCTGATTTTAATTTGGCTACGTCCCGTTCAAACAATCTGTACTGCGTAACTTACGTCATTATTTCATCTGCAATAATCCGCAATGCTATAGAGCATTGCAGTAATTGGATAAAATCATCTTTCATTGCTAACTGATGATCATCATCTTCATTCAATGGTGAGCATCATCATTGGTGTTTGGATAAAATCATCATTTTAAAATGAAACAAAGCATCCGAGTTTATAAATATCAAAGTTGCTGAATATGCAATAACTTTCTCATCTGCTTTCGCTTCTGAAGCACGTAATTAATCCCTTTGGTGCTTTCATCTATTGTTTAAAGATGTGCTATGAGTATATAAAATTACGGGGTACTTATACCACACACAGTGTTATGGAAATCAAGAATAGGTGTCCTAAGAAATTAATGATGTGTGGTTGAAGATATGTATCAAGAATGTCCAGGAATAAACTGTAGGCTAATTTCACCACAAGTTCATTGTCTTCAAGATTGAAAGTTCAAGATTAAAAGGCCTTTCTTCTTGGATATAATCTTAGCTGTGATCTGAATGAAATTCTCTACGGAGTACTGCTCAAGGAAGACGTAAACTGAAATTTAAGAACTGAGAAATTTGACGGAGTAAGTGTTAGAAAGTTAGCTAGTTCCTATGCGATCCGTAAGATATCATAGATCTGACCAGGTTTTGTTGTACGCACGTCGTAACTTTAGCTTAGTACAAGCAAGTCGTTGCTGTTGGCAGTCGATGAGAAGTTGAATAATTTAATTTGTTGTTGTTTTAATGATATTGCCTTAACCGCAGCTGATAAAGTTCTGTGTTAGTTGTAACATCAAGTCTTGTCTTTTGTTGTAGTATTAAGTAGTAACAGAAGTGATAAATCGCCAATTATTACGCAACCTTTCTTAAGATCAATCATTAAACTAACGAAAACATACACTACCTTCACGAAAACATAGATCCTCTTAGGCATTTAGCTCTCGTGGCTCTGTTATATTCAAATGACTTAACTGCTGAACGGAGGACAAGAAGTTTCCAGCTAGTTTGATACCCTAGTTATAATGTGATGCAAAATATTTTATGCACTGAAACATTTATCCGTCTAAATGCAAGAATGGATATAGATTGACTGAAAAACAAAATTGAAAACGAATACATGTACATTTGCTACAAGACAAAGTACAAATGTCTGAAAAAAGTATTATTACAAAAAATACTAATGCAGCGTTTCACGTGAATTTTATGATTTTTTTAAAATTTAATAATCTATGTAAATACATTCCTACCTTATATTCCAAAGCGTATTTTAATACAATTAAAATTTCTTTATATTCTAAATTACTTAATTTCGTAATTGTGACAATAACTATAACCGAACTAAAACTGTATCCTTAATTACTTAGATTTCTAACAAAATAATTACTGCTTCTTATTGCTGCAGTATGAACACAAATGCCAGGTTTTATTTCTCAAGCATATTCAGTAAACGTATAATAAACCTCTAACTGTTACTGAGTCTCCCTCTCACGTGTGGAGGGGGAGAAATTATTTGAAATCTCTTCTCAAATACAGTGGAAAAAATTACTCAAAATCTCCTCTCAAAGTTGAAAAGTGTAAATAAATAGCATTTTCTTAGGCAGTGGGCGATTATACGTAAATACTCTGTGAAATATTATTAGTACTCCTACGCAGAGAGTGAAATCGATGAAAATAGATTAACTGGAAATTTTAATAACTTGTAACACTCAAATTAAATAAAAGACATGTATCATACCCCAAATATCATTTTATTCCGGGGAAATGAGGTTAAGCGTTTACTTATTAACTGATAAAAGTAAATGAGATAAATACATTAGTTCTTATTATATGTTAATCTTAAACATGATATGAATGATAAAATACATAAATGTTATTTCAGGATCAACCAATCACATTCGAATCTTCAAGGAATATCACAATCAACACAAGAAATTCCAAAGGCAAAATAACAAGTAGACTGAACTTGGGTAAGTATTGCTCTAAAATATCATATAAATCAAGCATTAAGTTCTCTAGTTTAATTTTGAAATGTACAATGCGCAAGGAAAAAAAAAAGGGGGGGGACAATTCTATATCTCTCGTTCTACTAGGCCGATTGACAAAATTCAAATTGCGTTCTTCATGTCTCGAAAGCGCGACTTACGATATATATATATAGCACCATTATTTTTATGAAATAGCATACCAATTTCTTTACATATTTCGGTTCTACGATTCAAATTATGCCAGACTGCTAAGTTTTGTAAAAATCGTACGAGTAGTTTTTAAAACATTAGCTTTCAAAATTTTAGCTCCTCAATGTTGATTGAATTTGACACATATTTATTAATATCTCTTTTTTTATTAAACATTTTTAAGTCTTCCTTTCACATTTCAAAATTTAGGTTCATTCCGAATAAAGTTTACCCATTTTTTTTGTTTTATTTTTAAAATTTCTTTTTTTTTTTAAAATAATTTTGATAAATTTTTCGAAAAACATTTTGAATTATAACCTATAAAAGTTTTACCATCATCTTAAGGGAGGTGTTGTTCTAAGCATACCTGCCAAAAAATAGAGTTTTTTATTTTTTAGAGAGAATGTTTTAAATAGTAATTTTGTCTCGCGTTGTAGATTATAAAAAAAAAAAAAAAACAACATTTTCTTTAATATAGAAATTATTAGGCTTAAAAACTCTAAATAATATGATTTAAATTGTTTGCACCGGATATAAAAATCGGGCCACTCCGTGGTACAGGATAAGCGCTGCTGGAGTTGTTTATTTCTTTCTCATTTAATAAAAATCTTTGGATTGAAATATTTATGCTTTGGACTTTGCTTTAAACTTGCATTTGATGCCACTGATATTTTAAAAAATTTGACAGGAATACAAAATTTATGGAAGTGTAACAATCGAAAAATCTTAATTTTCTTGTGTCAGCTCTGAAAACAAATGTAGAAGTAATGAAGGAAATTGGGGGGAGAGAAGCAAAAATTTAAAGTGGAATCTACTTCAAGGAAGTTGGGTGTTCGAAGAGAAAACACTTGGACGTGCATACCAGCAAATAGCAGCAATTGAGTTGGTACTAACAGAAAAGACAAAAACCATATCATTGCAGATTAAATTATAAATTTAAATTACATGATAGAACATCATATCGTATCATGAACGGAACATCCCATGATTTTTCAGTATAATTATTCGAAGATTCAGGAATTTATCCAGTGACATTATAAAATATTACTTCCGCCTTCTTAGCTTGCATTCGTAATGTAGTGGTCTGCACGCTCGGTGCGTATTCGAGAGGTCCGTGGTCCGATTCCCACCAAGGGAATTGCTCATTTTTCATTTCCTCTGCTTCCAAAAAATACCTAATGTCTCTGCAGTGGCGCCCGAATTAAAAGGGTGTGAATGATGATTCTTCATCACCAGGATTTGGCTACTGGTCCCCTAATCCCCCGCCCTTTAAGGGGGGTGTATAAGGTATTTCTACCGCCTTCATAGTGTGCCTTCGTGGTATAGCCTTCATAGTGTGCCTTCGTGGTCTGCATGCTCGGTGCGTATTCGAGAGGTCCGTGGTTCGATTCCCGGTGACGGCATTGCTCATTTTTCAAGTCTCCTGCTTCCAAAAATCCTAATGTCTCTAAAACGTGTATGGATATCATCTAAGGATGTTTTCCCTATTGATGAAACTAATTTCCTTTTCATCTCATGCCTTCAAAATGCTTAGCCGTTAAAGACTGATAAAGGCTCTGACCAAATACTGATGAAATGGATTGAATTGGATTATTAAATTAGGGCAAAGCAGGGCTATCTGCCTAAAAGGAAGGATGCCTTCGTCAAGAACTTTCTAAGGGAAACCAACTGTCATACACGTTACACATGAGAAAAACCACGAAAACACCCATGCAACCAGTGCGTTTGCCGGGATTCGGACTCCGGAGAGAACTATCTGTGTTCAGCGACTTTACTGCTCGGCCGTTTGTGAGCCTTTATGAAATGGAAGGCGATATCTTTATTTAAAATGAATGTCAGAAATACCAAGTTGTTTCGAAAAGTTGGATGCTTTTTAATATACTTGCAGAATGCCTGAAGAAAAAGAGCAAGCCATTAAGAAGAAAAAATAAATTTTTGCATAAAATTTAGTATTTTTTTAAAATTTAAAAGCTTTTTTAATCTTATGACATTTGATTCTTGCGATTTCAAAAATAAAATATTTGACTAAAATATGAATAACATTTTAAGAAAGCAAATGTAGGAGGCTAATATTGTGTAAAGCAATGGGCATAATGATAAAATTGTTTAAAGTAATATATGCAAGTCATTTCAAGTTAAAATGTCGATATACATCTCTCTTATTTCTATGTCTTTTCTGAAGGAACATTTAAAGGCGTGTTTAACTGTGTTTTACTGTATTTTCTTTTTTAATATATGCGATTTTCAAATGCATCGCAGTCTGGGATCACAAACTATTCTTTCGAAATAAACGCAATTCAAATAAATAAAATCAAATTCTGGAAGATTTATTTTAATAAATATATTTAAAATGCTCAGTTCGAATGAATAAATAGAAAATTTTAAAACAATTATCCGAAGAGATAATGCAATACAAACAATTAAAATAATAGTCTAAAAATTTAAAAATTACCTATAATAATAACTAAAAAATATAGTATAAAGAAAATTATTTCGAAAAAAAAAAAAAAAAAAAAGGATGCACCTTTATTTAAACCACGCAGTTCGAATGAGTAAATAGAAATTTTTAAACAGTTATTCTAAAGAAACTATATGCAACGTAAACAATTAAAATGAAATTTGAAAAAGAAAAAATTGTTTAAAATTAATAACAATTATTATTATTTGAAACATTATTTGAAAGAAGGAACGATGTATATTTTTTCCTTCTCACGCACTATGTAAAAATGGAAATGAAGATAGGTTACTACATATTAAGAAGTTCGCCAAGTGAACTAATTTTGGCACAAACTGAATAAAAAGCGCCAACATAAATTGTTGAATTTCTCCCTAAATTTCGCACCAAATTTTACAAAATTTAATATTTAGGCATAATTTGGGTCGTAGAATCAAAATATGTGAAAACATTGGTATGTTATTTCAGAAAAAGTCCGATTTTGTGTCAAAATACCTATGTTAGTGCTATAGATAAATATAATATATATCCTAAGTCGCGCTTTCGAGACATGAAAAACGCAATTTGAATTTCATTAATCGGCCTAGTAGAACGGGAGATATAGGAACTGTCCCCCCTTTTTTTTTCGCGCTGTACATGTAGAGTGTTTAGTTTAAAAGTTGATCCTTCGCAGAAACAGCAAGTCTATGTATTATTCATAAGATTTATGAAGAGTGGATGGAATATCTACATGCCAGCATTTTATAATTAAGTATGATGATGCTTGACCTTGTTAACTTTATTTGCTATGTGATTTCAGTCTCAGTAGGGAGTTTTGTTCTCGTTGCTAATTTGTGTGTGTTCCTGCTCATAGCGTTTTGCGAGTTCTGTGATGTTAGATCACAAGGAAAAAAGAATATTAATAAAATGTATAGCTTTGTTGAAGTAATTTGCGAAAAGTCTGTTGTTCAGCTTCGGTAAACTTTTAAAGATGATATTTTGAATAAATCATAAGTATATTAGCGGTTTTAAAGGCCGCCCAACCGGGAACTGCCGTACTGAAAGGCCCGGGCTTTAATCCGAGAGAAGGCATGAATGCTTGTAGAAGTATAGTATCTGTGCGGTATGGCAGCACTCGAAATACGCGGCCAGCCGAAAGTCCTCTTGAGAGGTTGTTTATAGGTAAGGAGGGTTGGAAGGCTGTCGGACCGTCATCAGGGTGCTCTCCTTGAAAAAAAAATCTTAATAAGCTCCTTCAAAATCACGAACTAAATAAACATTTCTTTTTAAGAAATATTTAGTTATACCGTTAACGTTTACGCTGGCGTTGTGAAATATTACAGCATGCAGTTGGAATTTTTTTGGAAGGAAATACCTGACACGGGTGAAATTCATGTGTAATGTGTTATACTGAATTATAAAATAGGTTGTTTTATGCCAAAATACTGTTTGAAATAAACTAAAGTATTCAATATTGTATTACTTCAAACTGTTAAGAGAAGAGAAATTAAATTACCACCAAATGGGTTTATTTTCCTGAAAAATAGCCACAGCAAACTAATGTGGCACGTTCTGTTTATTTAGAACAAATATGCATTACCACACAATCACCTTCCAATATTTAAAAATATAAAATAAAACTTACATATCGATGTTAATTTCAAGTAAAGCAGTACTAAATATAAATGCATTAGTAACTTTTCTTCTTTAATTTTTAGGTGACGGGCGATTGGAGGCTGTCGCAAATATGTTCACAATAAAGAGGCCCAACGGCGACATCTTGTTAAATGTAGACGGAAACGAAGTTATAATGGCAGCAGATAAAATGAGAGTTACAGGTATTTTATTAGCTTGCTGTTATTTTTTTACTTAACATTGCTGAAATAACTGATGAATTTCTTCAGGCTTGGTGCATAACTTGCAATTAATTCTTTCTGTTTGCTTTGTAACTGGAGGTTAAGTCTCAAATGACCATCTTGACAATGACTCAAATTGCTATCTTGACATCCACAACATAAAAAGGAAAATTAAGTCTGGGGGTTAAAATTTAGTGATCTAAAATGTTTCGGTTCAGAAATTTTACAGTCTCTAAATTTTGTATTTGTCCTAAAGCGTGAAATATACAGTCTTTATGCTTTTCAAGCACAAAATTTCTCTTCTATGTTTTTAATATAATTAAAAGCATAGAATATAACTGAAACATAGTAACGACACTTTTAAGATGCAATATATTTATTGTTATAATTTATATATATATATATATTACACATTTTAAACATGATAGAATAGCAGGTTCCAAAACAAATTGTTTCGATGTTTCTGATCTTATACTCTATTTCTTTTTCATTCTGATGATTTAATTAATTTAGTTGCTTTGACAATTACCTTAAAATTGTTGCGGTTTGACTTAACAGATTTGATAATCTGAAATTTCTTATCATAGTAACTACACCACATCATTTGAAAATTACCAAACTCTTATTGTTGTGACTAACTTGTAAGGTTCCTTTATTTTAATATTGTTGTGATTGTTATGATTTAGATTGTTGTTATGGTTTAGAATTTACTATCACTTCTTTCTGTTTCCCTAACAGACTGCAAATCAGGTTTAAGAGTATTTAAAGTGAGATTATTGGATTGTAATAGAGAGAGTGTTTTTGCCTCTGGAGCCCACATTATTTGGTTTTCTGTAGCTCTGATAAGATTGTATTCTTCGGCTTTGCATTATAGTTGTTAACATTTAAATTGTTACATTGGTGAGAAGTACGAGCCAACTTAAATCTATTGCGTTGCCTTTGGCTGCTAGTCTTAAATTCCAGTTTGATTGTTACTTCAAGATACATCGCCATAAATGGTGATTGAGCTGTAAGCACGATATGTGCAGTTTATGTTTGAAGTTCTGATTTAATAAAAAGGTTATTTTGTAACTTTCTTAAGTCTTTGACGTTTCTTTCAGACGAGTGAAAATTCTCTCCAAGTCTGTTTGGAGTTTGGATATCAGTTTATGCTACCAAAGGACAAAACTCTATAATCTTCTTGAACAGAAAGATAAAAACTATCTCAGGATCATAACTGTTACTCTTCGGTGTCATTCAAATGTTTAACGAGGTGTTATCAGCAGGAAAATCTCTCATATGAATTCTTTTTAGGTTTTGGTTTTATTTTATCTGTGGTCTTGGCAAAAACTAGCAAAACATATTCGCATAAGATTTAGGGTGAAAATTAATGAAGCTGAAACTCTCAATAGGGTTTGGAGCAGACGTTTGGTGAAGATACTATTTTAAATCGAATAAAAAGTTTGAAATAGCATTCGCATTTGAAGATCCGTTTGGTCTGGCTTGAAGTTGAAGAGAGTCAGGGGCGAATTAGCAGAAGCGAAACAGCAGAAAATGTTAAGAAATTTTAAAACCTCTTCTAGGAAAATCATTGCCTAACAATTCAGGTATTCTCAGATAATTCCAGAATGAGATAGGAAGTCTCCCGCGTTATTTTAACAGAAAACTTAAACTTGCAAAGTTTGTGGTTCTCTACTGCCCATACGCAAAAGAACATCAAGCAGCTTTTGAAAGGAAACCACCATATTATCATTCTCTATTTCTGTTTATTTTGTCAAGTTCATTATGATTTCGCTTTTGGAAACGAATTTAAAATGGCGGCGTTTTGAAACCATGCCGAAGATTCAAGAAAATTCATAGGAGGTTTTTCAACAGCTTTACGAAAAATACCTTCCATAATGTTTTTGAGGCCTTGGAAATCGATCTGTATGCTTTCATAAAGAGACTTTTACGATCACCGCTAAAATAAAATAAAAAAAATATTTTTTCTTTAAATTCAAGAACTTTCCAGTAGCGCTAATAATGTATGTCAGAAAGATGTATTTGCATACTGTAGCATGTACAGATCATGTACCTCTGCGGGATCATTATTTCATTTATACGATATGCTGCTTATTTTCAGCGAATCATAGCGTGTATAAAATATTTAGGATATTCGGTATAGCATAATGCTTTAACATTCAGTGAAGTGGTCTTATAAATGACACGTATTAGCCTATATAAGATATTTTAAGAAAGAAAACTAGCATTATTTTTCCAGGTAATCAATCATTTTTCAGATGAAAAATGTATTTCCCTTTCGATGTAGCGCTTGCGGAAGTACATAAATTTGAGTTAATTTTCTTTAAATAATATCATTTAATTTTAACAGCAATTTACTGTTGTGAATTTAAGAATAAAAACACAAAACATCCTATATAAATTATTATATAGAAAATCAGTGTCATTGTGGATATAAAGAGAAAATATTTCTTCCAGGAAAAGGAGGTGTTAACTTCAGAGGTTCTATACAAACGCCAACAATCAAATCGGAACCCAGGAAACAATTGAGGTATGCTTAAAAGTTTATTTTAAAGTTTTTTTAATTACAGCTTTTTGAAATTCATAAATGCTTAATGAGCATTACAGGTTTTTGTTGTCCTTTCGTTAATGCAAGATCAAAATTAAAAAGTAAATCATTACTTGAGAAGATTAAAATTTACAATTATACCTAGAAAATTTAAATTTTATTATGTTCAGAAATAATATATGATTACTGCAAACCCTCTTGCAAAATCTTCTTAAAATGGCCCCTAATTCTCAGAACATATAAAAAAACATAGATATTAAATGTTACCTCTGTAAGATGATCGCATTCATAGGAGATTAAAAACGATAACGAATGATCGCTTTAAAGAGAATTCCTTATACTTAACTTCACAAACATTTAAAAAAATATTATTAAATTTTTCGGATATATTTTATTCCAAAATCTGTTCATTATTTCTTGAACGCTTACAACATACAGTGAAACTAGACTAGAAGAGAAACACGCTAATGTGACAATCAAAATCGTAAAAAACAACCTTATATTTAGCGTAGGTATAATGAAACACTCAATCGATTTCGAGGGCAGCTAAAGGTCCCTCCTCATCAGGAGAAAGAAATACATAGAAAGAAGAAAATAGGAATCACAGAAACACGTAGTGCTTATCAGCACTGCACGTGGTTATAACTAGATTTTTAATCAGAGTTGCACTGGCCGCCTACTTTTACTGAGCCAGGCTGTCTGATCAAGCATAAAGAAATATTAGCGAAGTTAAAATAGGGAGCGAGGGGGGCAAATGCACATTACGCTCAAAATCTGAACTTCAAATAATGGAAAGCAACCACTGAACGGATTTTTTATACCCTCTGGTAGTACCAAGTGCGAGGAGGTAACGCCATCTATCGGCAAAAATAATTGAATTAAGACAGTAGAATTTTAAAGGCATTAGGAAGGACTGGATAGGACTTCAAATCATTAACTAAACTTTCTAAATTTTGTGAATGTGAAAAGCCTCAAGAAGAAAATCCAATTCGCCTATGGAAGAAAGCCTTTTGGATGATTTTGCAGACCCAAAATCAAAATTATGGTTAAAAGTCCAGCTATGATACGCTATTGAAGACTTGTTAATTTCCCCTTTTTTGACATAAGATTCATGTTCCTTGATACGAAACTTCAACGCTCTTTTTGTTTGGCCAATATATCTTAAACCACACTGACATGATATACTATAAATTCCCCAAGAATTCAAGACAGAAACGCAATCTTTTAGAATCGAAGGGTGAATTTTATTAATAGGGGAGAAACCGACTTGAAAATTGAATTTCTGGAGAATCCGTGCAATTTTATAGCTAACAGAAGGATAAAATGGAAGCACGAAAAGGTCATTGATATTATTTCTAACAGTGGAATGTCTTCTTTGATGGGAATCTGAAAATTTTTTGACGGCTTTATCAATAATGACGGGAGAAAATCCACGGTCAATCGCAACTGCTCTCAAATAATTAAGTTCATTGGTAAGCAAAGATTCAGAGGAACAAACTTTTAGCGCGCGGAAAACATAATAGTAAAAAGAAGCCATTTTTTGCTTAACAGGGTGGCATAACTTGGCATGGCGTGGTAAACAAACTGCAAAGAGTTTACGGTACACAGTGGTGCTAAAATTGGTTTCATTGCGGATTATAAGAATATAGAGGAAGAGGGAATTGTTGGATTGAATTTCAAGAGTGAATTGGATGGCTGGATCAATTGAATTCATAATATGTAGATTCTCGGATAAATCCTCTTTATAACCGTCATAAAGTGCGAAAGTGTCGTCAACATACCGAATCCAAAGACGAAAAGATAATTTATCAAATAATTTCATCTCAAAATAGTGCATATAAATGTCAGCAAGTACCGGACTGAGAGGATTACCCATAGCCAATCCTGCAACTTGACGAAAATATGCATTTTGGAAAACAAAGTGGGTTTGACTTAGAGAAACTTTAGTAAGCGAAACCAACTCATTAATTTCAGTATGTGTGAAGTGAAATTCCCGAAGCCTAGTTTCAAGACAATTTAGTGCTCCTTCGACCGGAACATTAGTAAACAATGATTTGACATCAAATGAAACCATAATGGAACGAAGTGGGGAAATATTTTTAAGTTTATCAATGACTTCAACAGAATTTTTTACGGTGTGAATATTGTTATCAAGTAGAGGAGAAAATCTGGAAACTAAATATTTGGCCAAAGGATATGAAGCAGTACCTATGTTGGAAACAATTGGTCGAAAAGGAATACCGGTTTTGTGGACTTTGGAAGAGCATAAAGTCTAGCGCAATTAGTAATAGGCGGAATAAGTCATTTCTTCAACTGAGTTGGCAGAATGTGGGAAGATTTAATAGCACTTTTTACTTTCATGAGGTCCGAAGTTGAAGGATCTTTAGGGATCGAGCAGTATGGGCCTTCATTTATCAATTTAGAGACTCCAGTAATATATGTGTGTTTGTCCATAACAACGATCTGTCCGCCCTTATCAGTTTTAGAGATAATGATATTAGTATCAGAATGAATTTCACGTAAGATCTCATTTTCCTTTTTGCTAAGATTAGAACCCAAAGATTTATTATTAAAATTAACGTTATGAGTAATTAGGTGGCGGATTGTATCCTTCTGCGTTTCCGAAATTTTGGAGAATTTAAAGGCTTTCTCTATAGGGGCGATGATTTGAGGAATTGAAGGTTTAGATGTCTTTGAAAAGTTGAAATTATATTTTAATACTTTTTAACTGATCCTTCGAAAGATTCCTATTGGAGATATTAACGATGGAGTTAACGTTTACAGTGGGAAGATCAGCTAGATATTTGGGACTATCCGACTGGTGTGTGAGTTTTTGGAATTTAGAAATGAGCACATTTTTATGCCGTTGACAAACGGTATCGGTTCTAGACCAGGATGTATGTTTAAATGAGGAAAAATTTTCAGTGGAATTAGCAATTTTTAAATGGAGGTAATATAATTCAAATTCAATTTTACATAAACGTTTGCGTGTGTCCCTTATAATGTGACGAAGAAGTGCCAATCATGCCGAAGAAGTGCCAAGTCATGCCACCCTGTTAAGCAAAAAATGGCTTCTTTTTACTATTATGTTTTCCGCGCGCTAAAAGTTTGTTCCTCTGAATCTTTGCTTACCAATGAACTTAATTATTTGAGAGCAGTTGCGATTGACCGTGGATTTTCTCCCGTGATTATTGATAAAGCCGTCAAAAAATTTTCAGATTCCCATCAAAGAAGACATTCCACTGTTAGAAATAATATCAATGACCTTGTCGTGCTTCCATTTTATCCTTCTGTTAGCTATAAAATTGCCCACGGATTCTCCAGAAATTCAATTTTCAAGTCGGTTCTCCCCCTATTAATAAAATTCACCCTTCGATTCTAAAAGATTGCGTTTCTGTCTTGAATTCTTGGGGAATTTATAGTATATCATTTCAGTGTGGTTTAAGATATATTGGCCCCAAACAAAAAGAGCGTTGAAGTTTCGTATCAAGGAACATGAATCTTATGTCAAAAAAGGGGAAATTAACAAGTCTTCAATAGCGTATCATAGCTGGACTTTTAACCATAATTTTGATTTTGGGTCTGCAAGAATCATCCAAAAGGCTTCTTCCATAGGCGAATTGGATTTTCTTGAGGCTTTTCACATTCACAAAAATTTAGAAAGTTTAGTTAATGATTTGAAGTCCAATCCAGTCCTTCCTAATGCCTTTAAAATTCTACTGTCTTAATTCAATTATTTTTGCCGATAGATGGCGTTACCTCCTCGCACTTGGTACTACCAGAGGGTATAAAAATCCGTTCAGTGGTTGCTTTCCATTATTTGAAGTTCAGATTTTGAGCGTAATGTGCATTTGCCCCTCGCTCCCTATTTTTAACTTCGCTAAATTTCTTTATGCTTTGATCAGACAGCCTGGCTCAGTAAAAAAAAAGTAGGCGGCCAGTGCAACTCTGATTAAAAATCTAGTTATAACCACGTGCAGTGCTGATAAGCACTACGTGTTTCTGTGATTCCTATTTTCTTCTTTCTATGTATTTCTTTCTCCTGATGAGGAGGGACCTTTAGCTGCCCTCGAAATCGATTGAGTGTTTCATTATACCTACGCTAAATATAAGGTTGTTTTTTTACGATTTTGATTGTCACATTAGCGTGTTTCTCTTCTAGTCTAGTTTGTGCTATCAAACCGGCATTTTCGAGAATATTTTACTGTTTATTGTTTTACCACGTGCACCATTTTATTTACTTCTTTCCACGTGGCCATCATTTTTTCGGATTTGGTTTATGCTATCAACCGGCATTTTCGAGGTAATTCTATATTTTTTCGGTTTTACCACGTGCACGATTTTGATTTTCGTTGCTTCTTTCCACGTGGCTATTGGTTTTCAGTATTGGATGTTTCTCTCCTTTTTGGAATGTTTTTGTCATTTGGTTGATGAAATTGTCTTCATTATTTATTGGTGTTTTTTTCATGTTATAAGTAATTACTTGTTTTGACTTTCGGAATTACATTTCTTTTGTTCACTTGTTTCTTGCTTGTGCCCTTTTCACAATATGTCCACTGACAGGAACCGATTTTGTAAGTTACGCCTTAAGCGTACGAAATTCTTGAATCATCTACAGTTTCTACTTAAATGCAAACATCAAAATTTCATTCCCAAATTTATACGTGTGAAATGTAGCCTTAAAGCTTCCGTTCACGTTTCAAAAATTTTGCATAAATTCAAATTGGCACTTCTTCGTCACATTATAAGGGACACACGCAAACGTTTATCTAAAATTGAATTTGAATTATATTACCTCCATTTAAAAATTGCTAATTCCACTGAAAATTTTTTCTCATTTGAACATACATCCTGGTCTAGAACCGATACCGTTTGTCAACGGCATAAAAATGTGCTCATTTCTAAATTCCAAAAACTCACACACCAGTCGGATAGTCCCAATTATCTAGCTGATCTTCCCACTGTAAACGTTAACTCCATCG